GCGCCACCATGCCCAGCTAATTTTTTGTATTTTTAGTAGAGACAGGGTTTCACCATGTTGACCAGGATGGTCTTGATCTCTTGACCTCGTGATCCACCCGCCTCAGCCTCCCACAGTGCTGGGATTACAGGCTTGAGCCACCGCGCCCGGCCTTGTTTAGGAATATTTCATGTGTACATGTCAGCATGACTATCAGCACATCTGTACCTTTATTATAAGTAAAAGAATTAATGTGTTGTTTTAGGCACATCATGCCAACTTTTAAATTGGTCATACGACCCCTTGGGAAATGTCCTGAATCCCTCATTTAAGTTTTACTTTCCATGTTAACTGTTTAGTTCATTCTTCATATGTGACAGTGAAAATAAAAGCTTTCCTGACTCTTAAAAAAAAAAAAAAGTCACATAGCATGTGAATGGTAGAATCCGCACTCAAACTGAAGTGTGGCACGAAAGCCTGGGTGTTTTCCATCTAGAATTGCAAGGAAATGGACTAATGGACAAAAAGCTAGATACGGTCCTTGCCCTCAAATAAGAGAAGCTATGTAGTAGAGTGGTTTAAAAATTCAGAGTATTGTCTGTTTGAAAATGCAGATTTTGAGCCTCAAAGGCTTGTCCTTCATAGGAAGATAATAATGATACCTATGTCATACAATTGTGGTAAGGATTCAACAAGATATTCCATGCAAACTACTTGGTATGCTACTTGGCACACAGCAAGTACTCAATGTATATTAGACATAATTTTTTTATTTTTTATTTTTTATTTTTTATTTTTTTTTTGAGGCAGAGTCTTCCTCTGTTGCCCAGACTGGAGTGCAGTGGCATGATCTTGGCTTACCACAACCTCTGCTTCCCAAGTTCAAGCGATTCTCCTGCCTCAGCCCCCCAAATAGCTGAGACTACAGGAGTGCGTCACCATGCCAGTCTAATTTTTGTATTTTTAGTAGAGATGGGGTTTTACTATGTTAGCCAGGCTGGTCTTGAACTCCTGACCTCATGATCCGCCTGCTTTGGCCTCCCAAAATGTTGGGGTTACAGGCATAAGCCACTGCACCTGGCCCTAGACATAATTATTAATATTAATTAATAATAATCCATACATGCAGAATTTGATCTATTTGGTTTTACCTCATAGGGCGGTAAGTAAATAGGAAAGAGAGATCAAGGTGGCAGCATAGGGAGGTAAAATGAACTTCCTGGTCTTTATTCCATCTGCAATTGTCTTATAGCTGTTAATAAATAACTGAGAGATTTGGCTCATATTGTTAGTTGAGAGTTACAGATTTTCATAGCAATTGGAAGCAGTAATAAGGAAAGCGGATAAGGAAGGCTTCCTAGTGTCTTGTTTCCTCCACCTGTAAAACATAGAAAGAGCTCCTGTCTCACTGTGTTTATGGAACATGTTGTGGTCCTTGAATGCAAAGTGCAGCACACTTAGGCACCCTATGCCCAGGCACCAAACAAACTGCAGCCTTTGTATGAAATGCAAAGTAACTGGCCTCCTCCCTCTTCTAGTGGGGCTCTCTGGGCTTCCCAAAGCCATCGTTGTCAATTTGCATGTTTCCTTCCAGGTGGGAGGTTTTTAAAATGGAATGCAGACCATGGAGGGTCTTCTCTGGCCTCTTCTTTGCACTTCTGAAAGTCATTCTCTCACCTCCCCATTGTGTAGTGTTCTTTATTTTCACAGATCTGCATCCTGCTTTCTTCTTCTTGTAAGCTCCTCTAGGCAGGAATCATGATGGCTCTTTTAGTCTTTTGTATTTTGTATGGCCACAATTGTCAAACTGCATTCCAGTCACTTGAAAGGCATATAGAAAGACAGAGAGTGGGCCGGGCACGGTGGCTCACACCTGTAATCCCAGAACTTTGGGAGGCTGAGGCGGGCAGATCACCTGAGATCGGGAGCTCAAGACCAGCCTGACCAACATGGTGGAACCTCGTCTCTAGTAAAAATACAAGATTAGCCAGGCGGCCTGGCGCATGCCTGTAATCCCAGCTACTCAGGAGGCTGAGGCGGGAGAATTGCTCGAACTTGGGAGGAAGAGGTTGCAGTGAGCCGAGATTGCACCATTGCACTCCAGCCTGGGCAGCAAGAGTGAAACTCCACCTCAAAAAAAAAAAAAAAAAAAAAAAAAGGTGAAGAGTGTCATGCCCCGCCCGAGGTTCAGAATTAGCAGGTCTGGGTTGGGACTGAGGGGTCTGCTTGTTTAACAAGCTGCCTGAGTGATTCTAACATAGTGGTCCCTGGAACCCAAGTCTATAGAGACTGTATAGCAGGCATCATGATAGGAGTGGGCTGGAGATGCAGCACAGAACTAGGTGTGTGATGCTTAGCAGCTGCGCCTGTTATCCTGATGGTGGCTTTGTAGACTGTGGGTGCTGTTTGCGTCCCCTCTACTCCCTACGGTTCTGCCCAGAGGCCATAGCAGGATAGAAGAGGTAGAAAAGAAGCATAGAAATAAGTTCTCAGAGGCCTGCAGAATGGATTGAGTAGAGGTTTTCCCCGCCAACAGATTTATGCAGTTATTCCAGAGCTGTTTGTTGGAAAGACTACCATTTTCCTGTTGAATAGCTTTGGCAACTTTGTTGAAAGTCAGTTGACCATATATAAATGAGGTCAACTAACTTTCAACAAAGAACAGAATAGAATCCAGAAATATAGTGACCATATATAAAGATTCTATTTCTGGGTTCTATTGGTCTATTTGTCTATCCTCTGAGAGGTACCATACTGTTTCAATTACCATAACTTCAAAAAAAGTTGTTTTCTTTTTGTTGTTGTTGCTGAGGCAGGCTCTTGCTCTGTCGTCCAGGTTGGAGTGCAGTGGTGCAAAGCCCACTGCAGCCTCAATCTCCTGGGCTCAAGCAATTTTCCGGCTTCAGTCTCCTGAGTAGCTGGGACTACAGATGTGGGTGTGCACCACCACACCTGGGTTGAGAAGAATTTCAAAGTCAGGCGGTATGAGTCCTCCAGCTTTGTTCTTTAAATTATTTTTTTCTTTTTCTTTTTTTTTAATTGCATTTTAGGTTTTGGAGTACATGTGAAGAACATGCAAGATTGTTGCGTAGGTACACACATGGCAGTGTGATTTGCTGCCTTCCTCCCCATTACCTATATCTGGCATTTCTCCCCTTGCTATCTCTTCCCAACTCCCCACCCCCTGCTGTCCCTCCCCTATTTCCCCCCAACAGACCCCAGTGTGTGATGCTCCTCTCCCTGAGTCCATGCGTTCTCATTGTTCAACACCCGCCTATGAGTGAGTACATGTGGTGTTTGATTTTCTGTTCTTGTGTCAGTTTGCTGAGAATGATGGTTTCCAGGTTCATCCATGTCCCTACAAAGGACATGAACTCATCGTTTTTTATGGCTACATAATATTCCATGGTGTATATGTGCCACATTTTCCCTGTCTAATCTATCATCAATGGGCATTTGGGTTGGTTCCAGGTCTTTGCTATTGTAAACAGTGCTGCAATGAATATTTGTGTGCATGTGTCCTTATAGTAGATCAATTTATAATCCCTTGGATATATACCCAGTAATGGGATTGCTGGGTCAAATGGAATTTCTATTTCTAGGTCCTTGAGGACTCGCCACACTGTCTTCCACAATGGTTGAACTAATTTGCACTCCCACCAACAGTGTAAAAGTGTTCCTATTTCTCCACACCCTCTCCAGCATCTGTTGTCTCCAGATTTTTTAATGATTGCCATTCTAACTGGTGTGAGATGGTATCTCAATGTAGTTTTGATTTGCATTTCTCTAATGACCAGTGATGATGAACATTTTTTCATATGTTTGTTGGCCTTATGTATGTCTTCTTTTGTAAAGTGTCTGTTCATATTCTTTGCCCACTTTTGAATGGGCTTGTTTGTTTTTTTCTTGTAAATCTGTTTTAGTTCTTTGTAGATTCTGGATATCGGCCATTTGTCAGATGGGTAGATTGCAAAAATTTTTTCCCATTCTGTTGGTTGCTGATTCACTCTAATGACTGTTTCATTTGCTGTACAGAAGCTCTGGAGTTTGATTAGGCCCCATTTGCCTATTTTGGCTTTTGTTACCAATGCTTTTGGTGTTTTGGTCATGAAGTCCTTATAGGCAATATCAAGTACAATTTCCACTTTATTTTTCTCCAGAGAATAGTTGTCTTCAATCTTTTACTCCGCTCCTTACATGGGTTTTGGTGGGGGTCGTGGGGCAGCACCCACAAGTCTAAATCAGGGTGGGGGTGTTCGATCCTTGTGGGCTTCATGAGATCGATTCCTTACTACTTTGCTGTGAATTGCACAACTCACACAGTAATGTAGCTTCACATAGAGCTTAGGAAGTACATAGGCAGCAAAGACGCTTGCTTCAGAAATATCCCTGACTGCTGCAGCCTCCACTATGTTTCAAATGACGAATTTCTTAATGGCTTTGTTCTTGGGCACACATTGGGCACAGTTCGTGCAGTGAATAGGCTGACCATGGCCGTGGCCCTTTTTGGCCCAACCATTGTTCTTTCTTTTCTTTGTCATCTTGGAAGCTCGCAGCAAAGAAAGAACTTTTTCTTTTGCCTATTCTAGGTCCTTTATAATTCCTTACACATTTTAGGCTTAATTTACAAATTTCTACAGAAAAGACTTTTGGGATTTTGATGGAACTGTGTTAGATCTATACATCAATTTGGGGAAACTGGTATTTTAACAATATTCACTCCTTCAATCCACAAGCATGGCATATATCTACCTTTATTTAGGTCATCTTCCTTTTTGTTTTTTTTTTGCCATACTTTTTTGTTATTTTCAGTGAAGAAATCTTGCAAAACTTCTTGTGTTATCCTTGTATAATTT